ACGCCTCTGTATAATACGATGATTTCAAACACACCTTTTATACTCTGTTTCTCCTGTCGTTTATGATTTTGGGGAATTTTGAATAAACTGGGCTATTCTCTGCGGAACTCCCCCCCCCCCGAATCTTTGCAAATTCCTATAAGTGAGGAATTTTCGTAATACACAATTCTCACTGCGCATGCGTGTAAGTAGAATATCTACGTCCCACAAGCATTATAGCATTATAATTCTTGTATACTTATTCACACGCAATAATCAAATACATCACTCATCAGCAATGAGCTATCGCACCCACACTTGTCGTACAAACCTCAAAAAATTTGGGTATGACTAAAGGGAGAGTTACCAACCGGGGAGTTATCTCGGAGAAGTATGATTTCGGAGAGTTATGTTCGAACCACGCCCAAACCACGCCCACTTCCCCAATGACCACACCCAATTTCGTAACTCTCCCGACGTTTCCTTGAAGTAACATGAGAGAGTTATGTTTGACGTAACTCTCTCTCGTTAACATTATGAAAATGTTAGAGAGTTATCATTTTTTATAACTCTCCGCGTTCACGATTGTGGCAATGAAGAGAGTTATGTCAGTTTATTGAGAAAACCTTTAAATAGTAAAGCTTGTTTCTTCAGATTTTCATCTTATATTTTGGTATTTCAGTTCGTAGCGTGTCAATAGCGTCCGTCCAAACATGAAATAGTACAACTTGACTCGGTCAAAACAATGAGATGCTTGAAGGGTCAAAGTACCCCCAGAAGCATGTTTTGACGTGTATTTGGCAGTAAATACGGTAAGCATAGTTGCAAGAAAATTGGGAAAATTGAATCTTTCAGAAATTCAGGTTTTGCAAATATTTTCCCATATCAGCCAATATAGGGCATTACATTGGAAAGGTTTTCTGGTTCTATCTAATACAAGAACTGTATCTGAATGTTGGGCTTTGTAGGTAATCCAAGTGAGCATGTATAATAATTTATTTACTCGTACTCGCTTCACTTGGTAAGTACTAAAGTACTACTAGTTTCTACTAGCGTTGAATATTAAAGCTGAAACTTGAGAAAAAAGTAAATTCACAATAATTTACTAAAATGTGGACGTTTTTTTTCAAAAAACTGACCTAACTCTCTTCATTGCCACAATCGTGAACGCATGCAGTGAGTTATAAAAAATGATAACTCTCTAACATCTTCATAATGTTAACGAGAGAGAGTTACGTCAAACCTAACTCTCTCATGTTAGTTCAAGGAAACATCGGGAGAGTTAAGACATTGGGTGTGGTCGTTGGGAAAAGTGGGCGTGGTTCGAACATAACTCTCCGAAATCATAACTCTCCGAGATAACTCTCCACTTCATAACTCTCCGTTTAGCCGATCTCAAAAACTTTACAATATACTTTATCAAGGACCAAAAATTTGGAATTCTCTGCCAGCAAATATAAAAGATTCACTTAGCCTCTATAGTTTAAAAAAAACTTTGATGGAATTTCTACTCAAATGCACTATAGCTGTGCCTGTGAGTTAAATATCTATTATTTTCTATATCCCTATATTTTGTATATAAGCATTAGCAGTATATTAATCTCTTGAGGTGATCTCAAAATAAGCCTGATGGTTTCATGAGGTCTCCTCGCCACTTTATTTATATTCTTTATTGCTTATGTAAATTTTAATAATATGCCTGTGGCAAATAAATCATTCATTCATTCATTCATTCATTCATTCATTCATTCATTCATTCATTCAACAGCTTTAGTAGAATATATATCGAGAACGTGTTAAAATTCACTCAGTTTGTTAGGGGCTGTTTATATGAGGCGAGCCAGCTCGGGTACCCGAGCTAGCTAGCCTGCGGGCAGCCCCATACCACGTAATGGTATGGCCATGGGCCGGGCTGCCCGCAGGCTAGAGCTAGCTCGCATTACGTGGTATGAGGCTGCCCACAGGCTAGAGCTAGCTCGCTTTAGGTGGGATGCCGTCTTTGTTAATATTTCCCACTAAATTTCATGTTGCGTTTATAAGAGAACCGAGCTGGCCCGCCTAACCGAGGTCCCGCTTCGTGTGACCCGAGACCTCGGGTAAACGGGCTGGGTAGTTTTCCATATAAACGCAACTAGGGCTAGCCCTCCTAGTAGGGCTGGAAATTTAGCAAATACGCATGCGGAAATAATTAGAATAATACTTCCATATATGGAGTTGTTTACGCCAAAAAAAATTAGAACACGAAGAGCTAGCCCTTCATGTAGGGCTAGAATTTTTCCATGTAAGCGAACAAAAGTTTCGTGTAAACGCGTGGTGAAATTCGTACCCGGGCGCCATGTGTTGTTCTATGGCTTGCGCGGCCTTTCGTGGGCCGCGTGGATTAATTTGATCGATGACGTAACCAAACCAAAGCGCCTGGGTATGAGGCAGGCCCGCAGGTGGGTATAAATATTGGCAATGTATTAAACTTTAAAAATTCTCTTAAAATGCTAGTAATCATTGGTCCACACTCTTTAAATACAGTACAAGCGCGTGTAATTGATATGAAATTATACTGTGATGACGTCATGGGTGGTGCTTAGGGCTCGACCCGTCCCAGAACCCCCTTCCCTATACTACTTAAAGTTAAACACTGTGTTGACAGATAAACAATTTTTACTGTGTATATATCACATATTTGTTGCATGTAATATGTTTTATCTAGTAAGATAATGTATGATGCATGTATGGCCGATTTTTGTCTGCAACTAAGGGGCCGACCATTTAACTTTTGAGGGAGGGGGGGAGGGAGCCTATACTGCTGGCAGGGAATTTTTTTTCTGGGATCGTTATGTGCAAATTTTTTTTTCTATCCCATCATCGCATGTACGATTTTTTTTTCCACTCTCTCTTTCGCAGCATTTTTTTTCAATAGCTTATACTATTTAGATTCTTTAAATATAGTTAACGTTGAGTTTTCTAGCTTGATGCATTGCTTTTAATAATACATATTGCTATGAGGTATAACATTGGGTTCAGGGGACATATTTAGCGGGGGACCTGGAGAAGTCTAGAAGAAGCCTCTAGAGGGGTCTAGAGGGGTCTGGAGGCATGCCCCCCAGAAAATTTTTGATTTCTTGAAGCGAGTCTTGAAGCTCAGATAAGCTATTTCCAGCATTTTGAGGAGTTTTCCAACAGGAAATTAACCTTACACAGTTACACTAGTCCCTGAAAATCAAACCAGCTGATCTTCTGGGACTGGTCAAATCGATCCCTTTTTTCCCCCACCAAATACTGGGGCAGGATAATTTTCCCCCAGTTTGTTAGTGCAGGTATTTTTTTTTTCAGAATTCAAAATCACACCCCCCCTCTCAAAAGTTAAATGGTCGAACGGCCCTAACCTGCCCAATCGCAGGCATTCAATTTTTATTTCTTGCACGCTGTCGCTGGCAACGTTTTGCATTGATCTTCCAAATTTATAGAAGGGAAAACAAAATTCATATACCGACGCTGAACAAATACAGGTATGTAGATTTTAAGCCGCCGGCTATTAATATATTAATATGACTTAAATAATAAAATTAATACAATATATATACCGGGTGTCCCCCAAAAAACTTGCGCTGTTTGATTTCATGTAAGGTAAAAACTATAAAAAAAGCTACACTCAACTAAATTCTATTGTATTCAGGAAAGGCTAACTTCGATTTTGATATGCAGTCCTAAAAATGTCATTTAATACTACGTGAGATACAAATGTTTGAATTTGGCACACGCTTTAAAAATGAGTAAAAAAATCGAGAAACATGGCTGATCAAATTTATGTAAAAACAATTTGCCATTTTCAACAAAAATTAACAATTTAAATTTTAGTAGCATTTCAACTCAACTTTAATTTCGGGTAATGTCCTAGTATAAGTTAAGCGTTAGCCTTTCGTGTTTCTTGGGAAGCGAAATAAATATGAAACATTTAAAAACGTTCGAAAGCATATTCGACGTCGTTTGCAATGCCAGTGGGAGTTCGTATTTATATAAAGTTGGTCTTCGTTCGCCTTTTGAATATGCATCGATTAACAAAAGATCAAAGAGTTTGGGTTTTATTGTTTCCCGTGCTAGACATTGTATACCTGTACGTAAAAAAGGACATACTCTCTAAGACGAATGAATAAATTGTTTATCCAACAATTATGATTTATGTTTTTCATTCGTCATTTTGGCAACAATATATCAAGTTTAACCAAATAATATTTGATAGGCAATTTTATGCAAATTTTTATAAACATTGTCAAATATGCTTATTCGATTTAAAATATCGATAGCTCAGTCAATGTTGCACAGACATTCAAATGTTACATATCAAAATCTAAGTTTCTCAATACAATAAAACTTATTTGAGTACAATAGGCTGAATAGCTTTTGTAGTTTTTACGTTACATTAAATCAAACAACGCAAGTTTTTTGGGGGCCACCCGGTTAGTTTGAGATAATTTACTAGCTGTGTCACAGTGCATGGGCAATATTAATGATTACGCAAATGATTGCAAACATTCCAAATAATCCAAAAATTGTGAGACACCTATAATTATATCAATGCATGCATGCACTTATGCACCAGCTTGTCATTATATATATGTCACGTAGATATGCTACAGATGAAACTAAGACAGAGATTTTCAGTATTCTTCAAAGGCAAAGCCCTTTTTATCTTGGGCAGTTGGGCCTCAAAATAATTACTCAATCAAAGTGTATATCATGCAGAATTACCGTATATAATATTATATATATAAGTCTAATTACGTCTTGCATGCATTTGATATCAGTCGGTATTCTATTGATATTTAGTCTGCAAGAAATTATATAAAAAATCCCCTATTAATTACTACATCAGCAGGCTAGTAATTTTTACGTGAATTAGAAAAAGTACTATAGAGTATAGTATAGTACGTTTGTATTACTGTGACTTCAACAATTGCTGTTTGTACAAACTTATAGCCTACTTTGAAATCCTGTACTCCATATAATAATTATACATGCCAAAAGCAGTTTTATTATTAATTCTTCATATTATACTCTGTGAGGGAAATGGTTTGAATGATTAAATCTTTTCTTAAGTTAGACAAGCAATAGAACCTCAACTTGCATGCAGGCTAACATTAACAATAAGTTGAAATCACCTTTCATATATAACACTTTAAAATTCAAGTTGCTTTTGTTGTTATATTAATTATGTCCACAGCAAAAATACCACACTGAAAAGCCAGCTATAGAACTGTGAAGCCATAAAAGGTATACATGCATGCAGGTAATATATTTTCCAGCAAATCTTTGACATTGTATATATATACCTTCATACATGATGTATCAATATAACCAATCCAATTGAATTCTTGATCAATTTGCAAGAGAATTGAAAACTGCATGCATGCATGTTTGCTGTGATTAAATATCTGATCAATATGCAGTATATAATAGTTATACAACTTATTTCAATTCTGATTGCTTTTGTATTCTGATTTCTGGCCTTTTAAGGTTTGCCAAACATGCTTAACATCTCAACTTAGTAAGTTAGTATTAGTACTACAAATAAATTCAATGACAATGACAATTCTCATTATATAAGTAAGTTTAAAAATACAAACATGATTGCATGATATCAATGATCGTTTCACAATTATTAACAACCTGGCCCTGGGCTAGAGAAATTGCCCAGTATTTAAATCAACGCTACTGAGCAACCTGCTGGTAAAATATATTTCCCCCTACCTATGTACAGAGGTTCACATGTATATACTGTAGTTTCTGAACAAGTTCTTGTCTTCTTGAAAAGGTCAATGAGTCCATATTTGTTTTCATACATAGCATAATTCCTTCGCTACTCGTAAAGTAATTCGTAATTCCTCTGGCGGCTCTGCTTATCAGTGCTATTGCAGTATGGAAGCATTCGATTTTCCGCTCTTATTGTCCTTGCAGCATTATTGGGTTCAACAAACACATATGTGCAACTGCATGCACCAACAGTCAATACGTTTGAACTTTTTTCTTGTATACATATATACTTTCTTTCCAGTTTTTAACTCGTGTTCTTACTCAGTTACTGCTTATAGAAGTAATCCTCTTGTGACGCGCCTTCATTGTTGTTATAACTTATAAGGCTTATAGATTCAATCCATCCAGTGCAAACAAAAATTCGCACGCAAACTATCAAATGTATCGATAATAAAAATCGTTGCCGTTGCCGTTGGGAAGTTGTGACTTGTGTTGGACAGTCTTCCCTGACGCTCTCAGTGTTCGTACACAGCGGTTTGACAAGGATCATTCATTTCACATCGAATTCTTGCGTCGGAGTACACATATAATTTCCGATAAAAAACGTGGCTGACATCTAGAACTTATAGGACAAATATAGTACAAAATTTCTTAACTGGAAGACACTTAGTATACCCCAAAGAGCATTTTAAAGTGTCGTATTTCCGATTTCTTGGCAGAAGCCAATCAGAGCGCGTAATCGGCGTAGGCAAGGCTAGACTTGTGCAGACTGCAGGGCTGATCAGCAGGCGGTCATGCATATGACAATGTCATACAGTTTCATTAGAGAGGTTCAGATTTGACTGGTAGTGGTAGTGATAGTGGAAGTCGAATCTGAACCTCTCAAATATTAATTAACTGCGCGACGGATTAAATTTTAGAAATGACATAGAATAATTATAACAGCTAGAACCTATATGACGTAACTAGAGAATAAGGATTTCGATTTTATTTCATTTCAAAGTCATTGTTTTAATTAGAATATCTACTGTATATGCCCGTGGTACAAACCAAACTTCAAATCCACTCCAGTAAATCGAAACATATGTTCATTGAATCTTCCTATAACCTTAAGAATAAAGTATCTAGCAATCTTATTTTAACTAATAATAAGCCAGTACCCAGGACTAATACTGAATATCCATGCCTTGGGCTTGGCGTGAATATGGACGAAAGGTTCTCTTGGGATATATAAACATAGTGATTCTATCTATTCTAAAGTTGGTACCGGTATTGCTGCAATGAGACGGGTTAAACCTTTTGTACCAATGTCGACAACAAAACTATTGTACAGCCTTATTTCGATTATTGCAGACCGTTATGGGATATTTGCGGATTTGGTCTCAAAGATAGGTCGCAAAAATACCAAAATCGTGCTGCAAGAGTAATTACTGGGGCAACTTACGATATTCTGACATCTGACTACTCGAGAATCCGTAAATTGGAAACCTGTCGAACAAGAATTATAATTGAATGACCGAGTTGGGATGATTCATTTTTAAGCCTAGAGTCTGTCAACGTGAAAGGTCAATGTTCATGAGCAGGCCCGCCGATAGGGGGGTGTGCAGGGGGGATTGCCACGGGCCTCCGGCTCTTGGGCCCCCTAGTCATTTTTTGTGGGGCCCCTGTCATTTTTTCAGGCGAAATATTTGTGTTTTTCGGGCAAAGTACCAAAATTTGGTATAGAAGAAGTTGGGGGAAAGTGCCACGATAGCAATTAAAACGTTCTTGTCCGGAACATTTTTCCTGAAAAATTGGGAAAAGGGGCCCTCGAAACTAATTTGCTGCGGGCCCCCAAAATGCTCTCGGCGGCCCTGTTCATGAGACCTCTGGCAGCTGCTCTCTTTAAGCAAATCTGCCCACAAGATAAACTATAGGAAACAGGTCAATCAAAACATAACATTCTCGCGTATACAACGGCAGCTAGTCTAACGAACTGTCATAGCCCAATGGAAGAAATAATGAATGTTTTCCGAAGAACCCAAATATATTTACTTTACTTTGATTTGTGGTAAAATATATGCTTAGGAAATATATGCTTAGGATAATATTTGCTTGCACCTGCGTTCAAGCAAACCGGCTTTGGTTGTTTCATTTTGACCTAAAATTTTATGTACAGGGTGTATCTAAAAAACCGCAACCTCGGAATTTCCTAAGAAATCACTTTGCAATTCTTAAGCATAAAAGATTTTAGGCCCCTGGGAATTGAAAACGAATTGCTAATAGATCATATTACTGTTGTTGTGCATAAATTTTGCTTTATGCACTCGCGTGTGCAGTAATTTTGACAGTTATGCTATTTTAAATTCCCAGGCGCCTAAAATCTTTTGTCTTTAAAACAATGTCGATGTCTTGGGAAATTCCGAGGTTGCGCTTTTTTTGATACACCCTGTATAATTTTATGGCGTGTGCGTGACTGTGTGTGTTCGTGTTAGCTTTAGCGCGCGCTTCCGGTCACATGCAATCACCCGCAGTCAGCGAATGTTTCCATAGATAGTTATATACACTAGATGGTGCATCTAATTATTCTGCAATTCAGTCAAAAATTGAAGCCGTGATTGCAGACTCAGGATATTCCCATGAAATGAGAAGACTCGTATGTTTTCTATTTCTTAAACCTATTCCAAATACATTTTCAAACTATTCAAATGATGAAAGTTATTGTTGTTTTTTAAGCGTTTATTAGCGAGTGGGAAATATCAACATGGCCGCCATCTATTCAAATTCAAATGGGGGTAACCGCTGGAATATTCTTGGCTTCAATTTTACTAAAAGAGATGCGCTATCTAGTTTATATAAGATATCTATGAATGTTTCACACTAGCGTAGCGACGTGAAAAACACCTATCCGTACCTTTTAGAAACGCTATTCTCAGAGCCGTCAGAGGAATTATTGCAACGGAGAGATGTTGTTTCGCTCAGCTTCTGAAAGTTGTACATTCCGTATCGGATAGGTGCTTTTTTAAAATTTTTATGCCGCTACGGAAAGCATCCGGTATAGTGTAAACGCGTAGCCACAGTTGCCACCAGAGAAGGTTTTTGAAAGTCGAGGGGCATTGGCCAAAAGGGGTACTTTTGTACATGACAAAATTATACGATTTTATGTGTCGTTCACGAGCCGAACGAAAATTTTTGAAAATGTGGAGTCTATAATTTATTTATTTATTTATTTAATTCGCCTTGTACATATTACAGTGGCAGGGAATCCGCAACAGCGTTTGCCAATTACTGCGGGCCCGAATCTATGAATCTATAATGAATCTATAATGAGATTTTATTGCAGAGCAATCATTAGGGAAACATGATGCAACTGTACAGTATTTGTCTCATGAATATTTTGACTGGGATTTTATTGTTAATGATTTGACATATTTGACGAATGAAAAATGATCCGAGCCGTTTAGCCTTTTACCCCTTATCAAGCAGGCCATACGTTCATTTCCTGCTATTGTCTTGCTGTGAAAGGGATTGCATCTGTAATTTGAACCCTATGCAAACATTTTCTCTCCCATGGGCAATTACACATTCAAATATTTTGATCGCGCAGTATCACCTACTCTGTGGTATCACTATCACATTTAGTACATGCAAAGTGGCTATATTAACCGTGCTGAGACTTAGTAGAGCTGCTCCCTCTGGGAGAAGTGAACGCTGCAACCAAAGTCAATTTCAAATGTTCATCATCGGCGTCTCGCAGATTTGGTGCTTATTTGAAATAAGAGAAGCAAACAAAAAACCCCGATAATGTCCCGTGTTGTTGATAACAAAGTCAAGGCAATGCTGGCTTTTTCATTGCGACCCTGGGACCCTGTGATGGAGCAAAGTTTTGCATACAAAACCGTAAGTTGTCGCTATTACTTTCATATATACCAGCATTCCAGCGCTTACATGTAGTTTAATAATATTTGAACGGTTAATTGTGCCGGTGTAGGCAATGTCTGTTATAATATAAGAAAACTGCGGCGATGATAGGGATAACACAACACTACCTGAAGAATACAACGAAAGTTCGACGTTTCGAGCGAAGGCCCTTCTTCGGGAAGTTAACTTCACGAAGGGCGTTCTTAAGGTAGTTGTATCCATAGTTTATATAAGTCTCCTATATCTATTGGTCCCTATCAATCTGAAGCTTTTAGTGAACAGTATCATGTTGTGTGTAAACTCGAAGTGGCTCGTAATTCCTCGCTATATGGCACTATGGCAGCCTGCGTGCAGTCACTGTATCTTATTTCTCGTATCGGACGTATGCTTTTATGTTATAGGTAATATTACTAATATATGATTTTTTCTGTGTTGGTGTAATGTACTCAGGTGATTATGATGCTTGTGATGTTACTCTGGGCGTATATCCACACCGGGCAAGCTTGAAAAATATGCCTGTCCACGGTGAGAATCGAACCTACGACCTTTGGAAAACTAGCCCAATGCTCTACTCTACTATGTGATATTTCGGAACAGAATCTAGTTCCTTCGATCAATGTAATCTACTACAAATCATGATTTTTTTTGTGTTGATTATTAGATTACATTGATATCGAAGGAACTAGATTCTGTTCCGAAATATCGCATACTCGAACCGACCTGTCCGCGTGGCCCAGACTGCATTTTCTCCACCGCGCGCGGAAGATCTTCCGCGCGCATTCTTGATGCTTTCTATATATTTACTATTAAATTTTCGAAATCTTCCGCGCGCAATTTCCAAACTTTGCAGTCTGGCGCGTGGCTCAGTTGGCAGAGCATTGGGCTAGTATTCCAACGATCGTAGATTCGATTCCCACCGTGGACAGGCATATTTTGAAGCTTGCCCCGGTGTGGATATACACTCAGAGTAACATCACAAGCATCATTACTAATATAGTTTTCAGAGTATTTAAGTCCCGACCAAACGGAGGATGAGAGTTGATGGGAGCTGGCAGTCGGTAATGTTACGGGGGATATTTTATGCTCTAGATTACCAACCAAATGTTTATTGAATGTTTTAACTTAAATGTAATAAGTGATTCTGTTGGGGAAGCATTTAGGAGCTGTTTATACGGTCCCGCTTACCCGGGATTCAATGAAGTGTGACGTATTTTGAGCAATTGAAGTAAGTCGCACTTCGTGATCTAACAAAATTGCTTGTTACAGATTGTATGAAATTCCATGTTTTAGCCTTAGACAACATCAAAATGTTCATCGTCTTCTTCCACTACATCCGTTCAAACAAGAAACAATAGCCTGCGTAGCAGGCGCTATTTAGGGGGAGGGCGAGAGTGGGAAAAGCTAGGGACACACAAGTCCACCCTCGCCCCCCCCCCCCTAAATAGCGCCTGCTACGCAGGCTATTCAAACAATATTTAGCCGTCGTCACGTGCATTCAAGTGACGCGTCGTACACCCGTCGTCAATCTTCGGAGCCTAAATTCGCCGGATACTTTTCACCCCCACGGTCTAAAAACCCTCGGCAATCGATTCCCCATGATGTAATCCCCCAGCGTCGTGAATTTCATTGGTTTATGGCAAAATCCGAGCCTTATATGGCATTTTTTAGATTATAAGTGATGCGCGCACCAACGGCTCGCTGCCGTCTTTGATATTCTCTAATACGCAAAGATGGCTGTTGCGCTTGACGCAGTGATAGAAGCGATAAATAACGGACCTTTTGAATTCGACGCTATTGGAATACCATCAGATGAAGAAGAAGACTTGGACAGACGTTTGGTGATGTCAGATAGCGACCCAAGGCAAGTATTTTCATGTTTTTAGCGAACAGATGTTTTCATGTCATGGCCGAAGGATAAATTTACATCCGACGCAACATGAACTTTGACGCACATTATTATTATTATTATTACTATTATTATTATTATTATTATTATTATTATTTAAGCTTATTTATTCGCGGTAGCCTTTCAGAAGTCTGTTTTTCAAAGGGCCGTGCACACTTACTATAAATTATTATAAAAATATTAAAATTATGAACTAAAGAAACAATCATGCATAATATACTCTATTTACATCGGCAAGCCATAATGCTTTGATATGGTTTGGCAGGATGACCTCCCAATTCAAATTAGTCTTTTAAAAGAACTGATGGAAGTTTCAGATATTTCTGTAATTGGAAGTTTTTCCATTAAAATTTGGTTCCATGAAACTGCTCCTCTAGAGGAGAAGCTTCGTTTTCTCCTATAGTCTAAGATCTGATACGAAATATAACAAATATACAAATAATCGATATAATAAGGCATTTATATGATAGTTTTGTCATTTATATTGCCACAAAAATCAAAGGTTTGAACCGATATCAAAATGTGTGAGCGTCGTGTTGCACACGTGGCATAAGTGGGCATTTAAAAAATTAATTTATGCATTTTCGGTTATATGAAGTAAGATAATACCATGTGTATCAGTATGTTTATAGTATTTTATTTTTTTATAGTGATGAAGAACCTGCTGATGAAGAAGATGATGATTTTGAAGCACATGAGGAGGATTGGGAGGAGGATGGTGATTTAGGGGAGGGTAGTGGTGGTAGGGGCCGATCCCCAATTAGGAGACCGGCTGACTCCCCTAATGGTACTTCTGTCAATAGGGGAAGGGGCAATAGGGGCAGTAGGGCCAGGGGTGGTAGGGCCAGGGGCAGTAAGGCCAGGGGTGGTAGGGCCAGGGGTGGTAGGGCTAGGGGTGGAAGGGCCAGGGGTGGAAGGGCTAGGGATACCGGGGCCAACAATAGTAGTAGTAAATCTTATGATGACGCAGACATTAGTAATACCCTCCCTCCCTTTCAACCAAGCCGTCCGCCAGGAATTCATTTTGATAGACATGTCTTGCGGGGAGGAATGACAACTGAATTAGAATTTTTTCATCTCTTCTTCACCACCGAGATGATAAAATCAGTTGTTGCCCACACCAACAGCTACGCATTCATGAGACTTGTAGCTGGGGGGTTCACCACATACACCACTGGGGAGGGGGCCTGGAAAACAACTACTGAAGATGAAATAAATCGTTTAATTGCTATTTTGATTTATTTTGGTCTGGTACGTGTAGACACAGCAGTTGAAAAGTATTGGAGCACAAAGACCCTTTACCACGGTCTCTGGGCAAGGAAAATACTTTCCCGTAAACGTTACAAAGCCCTTATGGCATTCTTGCATGTGGTAGACCCCGCCGAAGAGGTTGCTAGCAATAAACTGCGCAAGGTTGAGGAGTTTCTGGCATCGTTCAAAGAGCGATGCCGTATGTTATACCAACCATACCAGAATATTGCTGTAGATGAACGCATGGTTAAGTCTAAGCATAGGTCAGGGATTAGGCAATACATGAAGAATAAGCAAGATGAACGCATGGTTAAGTCTAAGCATAGGTCAGGGATTAGGCAATACATGAAGAATAAGCCTACAAAATGGGGGATAAAGCTCTGGGTATTGGCAGATAGTTCAAATGGGTATACAATTGATTTCAATGTTTACATAGGTAAGTCACAGCATGAAGCACCGTCGCAGAATGGCCTTGGTTATGATGTGGTGATGAAGTTGGTGAATCCATATTTGGGGCAGGGGTATCATGTATTTTTTGATAATTTTTTTTCATCCCCTAAGTTAGTCCAAGATTTGTTCATGAATGGGACCCCATCATCAGGCACATGTAAAATTAACAGGGAGGGTTTCCCCGAATCCATGAAGGATGTGAAGGTGTGGGCGAGGAATTTGAAGCGAGGTAGCATGCGATGGGCAAGGGAATCCAATGTGTTAACCCTGCAATGGATTGATAACAGGCCTGTTTCCTTGATTACATCAATTGATTCCGCGAATGATAAAAAGGATGTGGAGAGAAGGACGAAAACGAGAGGAGTGTTTGAAAAGGTGAATGTAAGCCAGCCCTATGCATTTCATAGATATAACCAGTACATGAACGCAGTAGATAGGTCAGACCAAATGCTTGCATATCATAATGTATCTCGTAAGTGTTATCAATGGTGGAAGACATTATTCTTCCACTTAATAGATATGGCAATTGTTAACAGTTTCCTTCTATTTCAAAGCCATCGTAACAGTGACCCGGGTAATCCGGCATTGCATCGTAAGTCCACATATACTATGGTTGATTATAGGGAAGAGCTTGTTAGACAGCTTTGTGGGTTAGCAGAGTATGATAGACCTCCTGTGAATGAGCAAGTGCAGGCTGTTCCTCCCCCAGATCAGTTCTGTACTGCCCATTTAGCTACAACAGCAGCAAATGGTGTAAGAAGGAATTGCGTTGTTTGTTATGCAGAAGGTCGAGGGGAGAGGAAGGTTTCTACTTATTGTAGTGCCCCTCAGTGCAATAGGCACATGCATGTTGGTGGTGAGCATGATTGTTTTGTTGTATGGCATAGTAGGGATTACACTGGTAGGAGGTCATGAGTATTTCTGCATTTGGTATTTTGGGTGGACTGAAACATGTCCAACATCAAATTTGTCAAACGAATGAAATTTGTATCATATTTTTCCATTATGATTACAGGTCATTCATTGTATGACATACATTTCATTTTTTAATAAAATTTTCCTTATTATTTGTGTTACATTCATGTATATTTAATGTAATTATTTACTTTATTATTAAAAATTAAAAAAAGAAGTGTGTTTCCTAATGAATTTGATTGCAAGCGGTGTCGTTCAATCTCTACTTTTGGGTGCCTGTACACATTTTTTTTACTCAATCAAATGGGGAAATTTCCCTTGAACATAGTAGAACATAATGGTGTCAGCTACTTTTAAAATTATGTTGCTGCACACATTTTTTGTTTACCAGGGGGGGTGACTTTCCCAATTCGGGTTGCCGAGTTGCTCAGAACCTTTATTTTGACAAATAATGGAAAGGATTTCACTGGAGAAAATGTGGGAGAGGAGTTGAATTCTTAAAGCCTACCCACCACCACTATGTAAAAAATATATATATGACTCTGGCATGATTACTACATTGGAGACATGTCAATGAAATTGAAGGTAAGATTCTGCCATTTCTAACGGGTGAATTTCAAAAATAAAAAAAAATATATTCTGTTAGTCAATTATTTTGAAACTTGGCACAAATATACTATATAACCTAAGCAAACATTTCATAAATATAATGCATTGACAAATGTGCATTGTTTGATATTAATGAGGCAAAATGCAAATATTATTGCCACATTTTTGCATAATTTATGCAAATTTATGCATTTTTGGGTCACGTGTCACATTTGAAAACGGAACCAACCGTCATCAATCGATAGCCGAAGTCATGAGCTTTCCAACGATGCATTATGCGCTTAAAAGGGTCCAGTACATGCAGAGAAAATCACACCGGAACATAACACACCTATTTATCACGTGAATAGGCTGGTCGAGAAAGAGTTTTGTGAACGTTAAATTTATTTGCAAACCCATACCTCCACCTCGGGAAAAGCTTATAAATATTACTAATTTTTAAGCTTGATTACTTGCACTTTCTATCCACTACTTGTGGTTGTTGTTTATAGACTTGTGTTTGGCAAAATATTCATAATACAACCGTGCTGCACATGCACTCACAGTATTATATATTTTGCCAACCACATGTCATGTGCAATTCTTAATTACATTAATCCATTAGCTGGCAGTGCACCCAAATGCACCCTACTTTAGCATTTAAGGCTATTCTATTTAATATATGTATCCCCCTGCCAGCATTCTTTGGGGTATCCATATAATCATTAATCATTCAGGGGCACCAATAATATAGATGTGGATTTCTTCACGGTTATCCCCCCTCCCTCCAGAAAATCTGTGCCTGGTTGGAATTCTTCACAGTAAAAGGTTTTGAGATTGGAATTCTTCTGGGGGGGGAGAACTATATAAATCATGTATCCTTGGTGTGTGTGTGCGGGGGGGGGGGTACAGATATTAAATGGAATATAGCCCATTTATTCTGTCTAATGCCGGACAACTTTATATTATCCTATATGACAACAAACACTCATTTGCTGCGTTGTTTTATATGCTCACCTCAGAGTTCAACGCAAATAACGTTGGTGTTGTTAAAAAGTCGTCATCGACTTCGTTTGTATCATTGAATGTGCTTTCTTCTTGTGCTTCATCCATGACAAGATCACAGACAAATCACACATGGATGACTTTTAAATCTGGAATATGCTCGACTTTACGGCAAGAAGGGCCCTGTTCCTCAGCCAGAACATCACATATCATGTCCTTGTCTATGCGCTTTGCAAAGTGCGTTTTGCAAGCATCCATAATATTTCGCAGCGTTAGCTCGCTGTCATACTTTTCGAATGGGACAAACTCTCTCGGCCCGATTCTGTTGTATTTCTGTGCTTTGCCGCCAACATTTGAGCTCATTCTTTGGACGATTATCTCTTCTTTCACAGTTTGACCACCTTTCTTCTTCGCAGTTGTTGTACGCTGTCGCTTTGCTGACATTTTGGCTGCAAAATGTGTCCATTGTTTCTTTTCCGCCATACTTGATTGCTTGCGTGACATTGACAAGTAGAGACAACTGAACTATATAACATGTATATAGTTCACTGGTAGAGACTGGTGGTAGAGACACGTGCGACACTGACACAAGGAATCATGGTATAGTGGCAGCGCTCGGCCAATAAAAAACTGATTTTTATTTTACTTTAATTTTGCTTTACTTTAAATTTATATTTTTGCTTTTGTTCAACTTTCTTTTAATTTTTGTTTAACAAGTAGTTTTTTTAAAAAATTTAATCATGGTATAGTGGCAGCGCTCGGCCAATAAAAAACTGATTTTTATTTGACTTTAATTTTGCTTTACTTTAAATTTATATTTTTGCTTTTGTTCAACTTTCTTTTAATTTTTGTTTAACAAGTAGTTTTTTTAAAAAATTTTTATAGTTTTTCGTTTAACTTTCATTTCATTTTCGTTTAACTTTCATTTCATTTTTGTTTAACATTTATTTCATTTTTGTTTTACTTTCATTTCATTTTTCTTTTAATTTAAATTTAAAGTAGTTTTTTTTTTAAAAATTTTTGTAAAAATATTAATTTATAAACTATTGGAAAAACTATTGGCAGTTCTCAGCCACCATAGACCTATGTATGAAAGAACATTAATAACGCAGTGCATATTAAGTTTTTTAAAAGCTCTCATTTAGCCGTCTGAAAACAAATTTTGTGAGCAGGTTGTGGCAGTTGGCTAAATAAACTTTTAGTTTCAGGCTTAAAAATAACTCACTTGTGAAGTGGCTGCCAGTGTTCTATATGGCCACCAGCACTCACTATAAAAAATATTCCTCGTGACCAAAAATGCAATGATTTTAAGCCTCCTGTATCTTTGTTGCACTTCACTTCATCTTCAACACCACAATCCTCCACAAATGATGGGTTGTTTAACAAGAAATTGCTTGTACCTACATAATAGTAATAACAAAAGAATTAATTCACTAAGTTCTTGACTGTGAGTTATTGACAATCTCTTTGACCGTAAGGGCCTGTGAACAGCTGTCACCTCAACAGTTTTCTTTGCATGACCTTTCTTAAGCCTTTACATTTCGTCATAACTGTTGTGACCACATCATGTTCAACGATGTGAAATAATCTGGATCTACAGTGTTTTTACAGACTGTAAAAACACATTGACACTGTATATTACATTGGTCACCTTGATATGTTCACGACAGTTACAACTAAATGGAAATCAGGCCTTGGACGATTAAAACAGAACAACCAGTCCATGTGATATGTCGCTGCATATCTGTACATCTCAACTATAGTTACAATTCTGTGATATGTCGCTGCATATCTGTACATCTCAACTATAGTTACAATTCTGTTAAATACCTGTATATCTCAAGTCCCAACTACAGTTACAATTCTGTTAAATACCTGTACATCTCAAGTCCCAACTACAGTTACAAATTCTGTTAAATACCTGTACATCTCAACCATAGTTACAATTCTGTTAGTTCTGTTAACACACTACCTTGGAATGTGGAAGCATTTGGGGAGCTTTCATCAAGATCTGTATCAGCAAATTGGTCGATGTTACAAGAAACAGCTTTAAATGATGAATCTAAAATTACAAGCAGAGAAATTACTTGAGTGTTGACTAGGGGGATAAAGCACAGGTAATAAATCATTATAAATTAAAGGAAATGGTCAGTTTACCAGATAAGGATGGCTGTGATGACATTTCATCCAGTGCTAAAACAAAGAAAAAATTAATTATTAGAAATTAATTATAAAGATGACACAATACACACATCGTTTGCATACCTTGGTTGATATCAACACTAGCCACTCCACATCGTTGATAAAATTCTTTCAACCCTGATTCATAACCCATGTTCAGTGCCTTTTCACAATGTGCCTCGCAGAAAGCATGTTCTCTTTTGGGGGATAGGGGGCAAATACTGGGATAATTGACTTTCCCAAAACCAGCCACACAAACTGGAACCTTCCACATACAGTGGGCATATCGTCAGTGCTGTAAGTAACTTTGTTACAAGTAATGAAATTACATGTAATCGTTACTTTTTGAGTAATTGTAACGGTAACTAGTTACCTTTAAAAATAAGGTAACTGTAACAAGTTACATTTTGGCCTAAAATGAAACGATAACGCGTTACTTTTATAGCCAACATTTACGATACTTTTTTTGTTACATTCTTGCGGTTAAAACGTACAATTCACCTCTCAGTTCTCAAAAATCTCCTCATGGTTTTCTACGACAACGCATGCTTCAGTGCTTAACACAGTTGAAATATCCATTAGTGGTAAGGTTACATAACATTTACAAATAATTAACGTCAATCTGCTGACCACTAATCATTAAGTTGAAAAAAACTGGGTTTTTTCTTACTTGAAGTAACTTGTAACTAGTTACAAAAATATTGAAGTAATTTTGTAACGGCAACTAGTTACATTTTTTTAAGTGTAACTTTTACCAGTAACTAGTTCCTTTTTTGGGAATGCAACTCTAACTGGTTCCAAAAAATTTTGCAAATGGTATGAAATATAAATTATTCAAAAATCAATCATTTTATAGTTTTCACCCAACCTGTTTCCATGTAGGCTGTTGCGGTATTTGAAAAAAAAACGAAAACAGATACCGGAAGAAAAATACCAATAATACCGATATATTGGGGTTTTTTTGTGATTGTACCCTGTAGAAACAGATTGCTTGAAATGACCAATTTAAATTGGTTGTCTCAGACGCATCTCTTTTTCACCAATTTTATTTGGTCAAAACGACCATAATACTGGTTGTTTTAACCATGTTTTGTTGTCGTTTTAACCAATAAAAATTGGTTAAATTAATGCGTCTGAGACAACCAATTTAATTTGGTCATTTCAACCAATCTGTTTTTACAGTGTATTTTGCTTAACTTTATGCAAAATTTACTTAATTTAATGCAAAATTTTCTGTTTTCAAATGATGCCAAACACAGCCACGATATAACAGCTTTGACTCATCGGGTGTGTGATATTTTCAATGAAGTGTGAGGCCAGTGATCAGTAGTCTGTGAAATGTCCGCTTTAGAAATTGAAAATGCATATTAGCATTGATTACCGCGATGTGTGATATTTTTGACCGGGAAATTTGTTTCAAAACATGTTATTCAACTGTGAATTTGAAACAAAGAAAAACAATGTCCAATGAGGTTAGTTTTTGTTTTTTCTAAAACATTTTGTAATCCACCGTTGTTTACATGTCATCTAAAAGTTCACTTTTTGACAAGCGAAATGACATATTATGCACCTTGCAATGCCAAGGTGCATAATATGCCAAACAAGTTTGTCGTTTTCAAGTAATCGGTATTTATAAAAAAAGATAATTATCAGCATATTGATATACCGCAACAGCCTAGTATTTCCATGAAGCCCAATAAACCATTTTCTAACTTCCATTTAGTTTGATAAAGAAGGATACGTATAGACTACATACTACCCATAGGCTTTTTAATATTACATCCATTGCCCAGGAATTTTGAAGTTTTTGAAGGGGAGAGTGCTGGTACTGATAGTGCCCAACAGGTTAACTTTAATTTGTGAAACATAGATAATGGTTTCCATACTCAATGACTTTGGTTGGGCATCATCTGGTTAAATTTAAAGAATCAGCAGTTTTTTAATCTGGTCACTCAAATTCTGATTTTCTCAGTTAATTTTGAATCAGAATTTCAGGGTTTTTCCCAATCTCTGTGATAACTGCTAATGATTGGGACAATTGTGCAAATAAAGTTCTTCACATCGCATCTTGTCAACATACTCCATAACGATGCTTGTGATGTTACTCTGAGTGTATATCCACACCGGGCAAGCTTGAAAAGTATGCCTGACCACGGTGGGAATCGAACCTACTACCTTTGGCAAATGGTGGGAATCGAACCTATGAATTAAGATATACCCATTCAGCATAATAAATAAATAATTAAATAGTCCACTCCAACGTGCAGAGTGTTGATGATACAAAATAAACGTAGGAGTACACTCGAACAGAAAAAGAATCGATATAAGAAGACTGATGCAAGATGGCACTCGCCAAAGGTCGTAGGTTCGATTCCCACCGTGATCAGGCATATTTTTCAAGCTTGCCCGGTGTGGATATACACTCAGAGTAACATCACAAGTATCGTTTTGGAGTATGTTGACAAGAAGCGATGTGAAGAACTTTATTTGCACAATTGTCCCAATCATTGCAGTCAAAAGGGTGAGTCTTCTTGCATCAGTCCCTTGCATTGGGAATCGAACCTACGACCTAATGCAATTACACCAACACAGAAAAAATCATGATACTCCATAACATTGTCATGGATACCACTGTGTTCCTTGTCATGTTGCTGACCAAAAACCCATTCCTTCCTCAAACCTCTTTCAGTCAGTTCTTGCTCAACTTTGTGGTGCCAGAAGCACTTGGCAACTACTTTAGCAGATACTTCACCTGGCAAAACACCCACAAGATAAAATAATTAAATCGCCAAATAACCAAAAATACTAAATATTTCACAGATATATTACACCCATAAATGGCAACTTGTATCTTATGGTCAGCATATCTTTGGTATCTGCAATGACTGTTAAATGTCAGCAAATGTAGACCAAATATATTGGAATTTTGGTTAATAAAGTTCCCGTCCACTTTTAAAAATGCCCATTCAAAAGACAGGTGGCATTGAAGCCTGGATGCCACATTAGTGTGCACAAGTTTCCCTCAATAAGTAAAATCATCTGGCATTAGACAATAAAAAAGAAGGCAAAATTCACAGGGTGCATTAAGGTGGATTTCCAATCCTTGCACGAAGCTCCTCGCAGCTCGCTGCGAGTGATTGCATCTAATTAAAATTAACTGTTTTGCATTGTGATTGGATGAAAGTGCTCATGCATGCACTCGCAGCGAGCTGCGAGGAGCTTCGTGCAAGGACTGGAAATCCACCTTAAGGCAGATAGTCTGATTAACCCATTAATTAGGCAGATAGTCTGATTAACCCCTGACGTGTAAAATCGTCTGGCGTTAGACAGAGTTAAATAATAAAATAGGGGTGCATTGCCACTTAAACTGTTAATAAATTTATTTGGTCAGATGGGTTTCTATTCTAAGATTTAACATTGCAATTGAAATCCAATTATTGCTATTATCTAAATATTGTTAAAAATAGATATTACTATACATACCAACATTGCAATCTGCATCTTCACCTGTTTCTTTCAAATTTAAAGACCCTAGAAAAACCAAATAGGCAAATATTAGACATACTGTATATGGGTAAAGCAACATCAACAACAATCATCAAGGCTAGTTCACACAATTCCATTTTGTCGGATCCGATTTTGCTTTTGTAATGTATGTAATGTAGTCCACTTGCTGACAAGACTTGCTTGCAAATTGTTTGTGTCACTATTACGATTGCATTGTGTGAACCAGCCTTTAGACATACAATAACTTGGTATAGATAATTTTGCCAATTATTGCGTGCCGCATACTATAGCCTCTACTTGCAAATTGTGTCACTATTACAATCGCATTGACAGTGTGATCCAGCCTTTAGACAGACATTATATAATTAACTTGGTATAGATCTAGCCTCTACTTGCAAATTATTTTTGTCACTATTGTCCAAGGTCTCCAAGTTGTTGTAATTTTATAGATATACAGTCAAAATACAAAGTGTCCCACTTTCGCTTCTGTATTCTGTTGTGTTTTTACTGTAATTTGTTCTGTTTTTCTGTAGCGGTTACAGATTTATCAGTAAAAAAGTTTTGTTTCGGTATATGATGATTTGTAGCATAAAGGATACATGTTTCGTCGATTCATTGTATAAAAGGTGTGAAATTTACAATTTTATCACGGTATTTGCCGATAAATTAGAGTTTATTATTTAGTAACAAATGCACATGTATTAAATTTGAAAATTGCAAAAATATACTGTAATACTAATGTGCTAATTATTTACCTGTTAAGCGCGAAGCATATCGGCTGATTGGCTCTTGGTATATTTCGTTATAAGCCTCTGAGAATCCACTGAAGGATACCCAACAGTGATGGCTAGAAAATGTTATAATATAAAGGTTTAAATAATTTGAAGGAAAACAAAGTGTTAAATAAGTAATTTGAAGCAAAACAATGAATGAACCTTAGAGAAGGAATCCAACGGTACAAAGCCAAGTCAAAGTAAGTCATGTTGCTGACCTCCATAAATGTATTATCATCAGTGTCTGCTGGATAAAGATGAGTGCCACATTCGTCACTGAAATTGCATGGCCCAAAATGCATAGCGCAATTCCTACACTCAAGCGTGACTTTTAAATTTAGGGCACCAAGAAATTTAGGGCACCACTGTTCCATAATCTCTGTATAGCGTGAAAGCTCATCAACATCACAATATGTGCAAAGCGCGTTGAAAGCATCCCATATTAACAACGCTCGTAAGGATTTTCCTGCCGTAATTCACACTATGTTAAATGGAACATGTTGTATCGCTTTTCTAAGGTTACAAACACCTTGAAAAGTCAATTGTGCGGCAAGAAGTTGAAGTGTTTCGTGCTCAGTGAAGGTCAGACCTTTCACCAAATATAAGTCGTGGACATTAAACTTTTGCAATGCCCCAAGCTGTTCTTTAACACGGTTGAAGCAAACGTTTTCCTCCTCGATTTTCTCTTTTACTCTGTCTAGGTCAAACAGACCACTACGTCTCTTTTTCCTCGACATACAAATATATTAAACCGAAAATAAAACTATAAATCTTGAATAAAACCCGGAATATTTTCAGTGTTTTCAACGCAATAAATGTAACAACGTGGCGGAGTGGTGCGAGCGAGTGAACTGGGGTACTGGGACAAAAAACTATCATAGCACAATAGCACATGTGCTTTAGCAATAATGTGAAAACGGACTGCCTACTTTAGGCAGCTTATGGGCAAGCATACAAGTTATCACAACTTCAGCCACAAGAGGGTCATTAACAGCTTTATTTTTGTTCAAGCTGGAAATAGGTATGTCAACAAGACCATGACGCACCATACGTTCCTTAACCAAATCCTTTGTAACAGGATCAATATCTTCAGGTTTTTTATTTATAACCTAAAAAGGAATAATATACATGCCCTGTTTTGTAATATACATGCCCTGTTGCAATGAATTGAAGGTGCATATAAGTACAGGTTTTTTTTACCTCATTTATTACATTGTCAGCAAGAGCTGTTTCTCACCTGTTCTTTTAATAACTGTTTGACATCTAAGTCCAGTAAATCCAGGGTTGAAAGTTTGTTTCCTGTGCGCCGAAGAATTGATTAAGGTTCAGTAACACGCGCCAGTGGCTGCACAAACCTGTTTAGCCGAGTTGCATTGTCAACACTTTTAATAGAATGAGACAGAACAGGTACTATCAAATTCCCGTTATTAAATGGCTGAAATACAAACAAAAATGGTTGAAAACAATGTAGTGTGCATAACTAAATAAATTTTTGTACGCCAGTGTGCCACACCAGTTCATTTCCTCATAATTCTGTGCCGAAAATGCAAAATGGAGCAAATTTATAAATTTTCCACGCCGAAGATCTTCGGCGCAACCTACAAACTTTCCACCCTGGCAGTAAATCATCACATGACACAACAGTTTTGGCTTCATCCAAAGATCCTGTAGATAAGAATTTCACAACAGCAGGGGAGAGCCCAAGAAACCCTGGGCCATCATGGAGGATACTATGTGCAACAACCTTTCCAGTTACCTCATAACAACCAGATGCTATTGGATCCACTCCACAAACAGGGACAAGATGTCCATCAAGATCCCCAAACAGTTGCAGATTGTAGACATTGTCAACCTTCTTAAAATAATTAATTGTGATGTGGAAAAATTCTTTGGTTGGGCCACCCATGTCTGCACACTGTTCACTGTGGAAATGAACATCAGGAGATTGTTTGAGACTGTTTGAACTTTGCTATAAAAATGCATTCATCATGCACACACAGTTTTTATGAAATTTGTGATGTATGATATAGGCCCCATATGTTTCTTAAAAGTTTGGCATGTTCATATTACTTGCTTACAGTATCATATTTACTCCAATAAACGCCTGAATAAAAATGAATTTTTAATCATCTCCATGTAATCCAAGGACAATGATCCGGACGATTAATTTGAACATACAATCATGAAAGAAAATTAAAATTTTGCATTCGAAAAATAATCGTGCACCTCAGCCCATTGAGCCAAGCGACATTTAGTCATGCACTGATAAAAACGAGTAGAATAAAATATTTAGAACAAGATTGACTGAACTTAACCAGGCATATATTATACTTACATTTATAGACGGATTTTGTGTGTGTGTGTGGGGGGGGGGGTGCAGGGCGATGCTACCCCTCCCCCCAATATCAGCGATAACCCCCCCCAAACAAAATGTCCACCCCTCCAAAAAGATTTTCAAAAAACTTTTTTTCAGCTAGTTCCTCGGATAGAGGAGAACTGATCACGTGATTGACTAGTTGTGTTGTTTGTGCCGTCAGATATAACCCAATCCCTATCTCTAAGCCTAATCCTTAGTCTAACCCTAAACCTAACCCTAACCTCAACACTAATCACTATAACTAATTGATGACGTAATCTGTGATGCAAATTCTTCTACCCGAGGAAGTACCCTTTTTTTCAAAGCTAGAAATCATGATTTTTTCAAATTTTTCCAGGGATACTTTGTTTTCTGCTCTCTAGACTCCCCCTCACGGCTCTAGTTCTCCACCCCTAGAATATAGACCTTACTGGGGTTTGGTGACACTTTGTGTTGCTTCAGTCACCTGCTCACAGCTCACCACCCCAGTAAAAAATATGAAAATCTGTCTATGTTTACATTTTTGTTTTTGTTTGCAAAATTTTGGCAAGCGTCTAACAAATGCCATCAAGTCCTCCAGACGTCAAAATTTTATTTACCTTGTAGCAGGAAAGATATGCAATGCTTGGATTGAAAGTCATGGAATGAGTAGGTGGAGGTAAAATAACACAGCTAATCTTTTTGCAAGCACCGCCACCGGCTAATACGATTGCTAATTGAACAATTGCCCTCAAGCACCACTTCAGAGCATCAGTAAAAGGGAGCGGCAGAGGTTGGGTACTTTGTTTGGTAATATTACAGAAGCAGCAAAGACAATGAAAGCATCCCAATATATCTAGCTAAATGGCAGGCACAGCCATTAGGATTTAAACTGCATTAATACTGTGTCTTAATTATTCAACAAAGGAGGTAGAAACTGCCTACAGCAGGTGGAATTCCCAATATTGTATCTCAGACTAAACATGTTTAGTGAATAAATACCTTATTATTATATGTATTTAATCTGATTTCTTAGGTTTTTTACTTTGAAGAATGACTAGAATAAGGTCTGACCATTCGATGGATGCCGAGCTATCATTTTAAAATTATAGGGATACTTTAGCTGATAAAATGCCTGATAGCTTTTACTACCATCTTCCTTCATGTCAAACCATATTCGACTTAAATGGAGGAGACAAATATAAATGGCGAATATAAACCTCTATCTGTATGAACGTTGTACAAACATTTGCCAAACATTGAGATAATGTTTGTGTTACAAGTTGCGGGAACGTTTTTTGTGAACTCGCAGGAACAGTGTGAAAACGTCAGGATTAACATTGGAATATGATGCTGATTCAACGTTTCTGCAATGTTAATTTAACATCCAGAAAATGTTGAGAACTAGCGTTTAAGAACAAACCCATGCAAACCTCTACAATATTGAGCGTAAAACCAGGTTAATTGCACATCCTTGCTACGCTCTTTTTACAATGTTGTGTTGTTGAAAGGCGTATATATGAAACTTGAACAAAGTGTTTGGCATAATACCTCTATTTCAAAAGATAGCTTGATTTACAACAATTACTATATGTCTATACTGTATATAATTTTATTTACAGTTAGTTCAAATATATTGATATGCATGCTATATAAACATTAAGAGGAAGTAGGAAGAATAGATATATGGAAAAGAAAAATAACAAAGTACTGTATGTATGTTAAAATACATGCTGTCCTAGTGTTCGTTTATCTCACATGCATAAAGTTATTGTTGGGCTTCATTTGATCCGTTCTTGCAATCCTGGAATAGAAGAACATTTAAAAAGAAAACACCATTACCATGCTAGCGTCATAACAGGTGAGTTTTCGAGGATTGGTAAATGCTATCTGTAATGGAGCGTTTTCCACTTCTATATATGTACTGTGTCGTAACGAAACGTGCCATATTTTTTGCTTCAAATCATTAGTTCTTGTGCTCATAAAGCAAAGAAATACACTACGTTTTGTTACAATTATGTGTTTCAACTAGATAAATGCTTTGAATATCTTATCGAAATCTTTCCAAGTTCATCTGTATGCCTGTATAAGTTAAGTTCAAATAATTTAAAGATGTATATTCGAAAATGACACTAGAATTAATTTACACCAGAATTTGTGCACAAATATTTATGAGTCAAAATACTACAATTGAATTTGTAAATGAAATTTTTCAACAACCTGAATGTTTTTTCTGTGTTGGTGTAGTGTACTCAGGTGAATATGATATTTGTGGTGTTACTCTGAGTGTATATCCCACCGTGGCCGGGCATATTTTTCAAGCTCGCCCGGTGTGGATATACACTCAGAGTAACACCACATATATAACCTGAATGTTAGAAACAAGAGTGGGAGCATAGAAACAATATCTATTATTTCTATGGAGTTGAGTCAAGTCCACTTCTGTCTTTCAATTTCGATTCATAAATTCAGTGAACTGAATTTATTTTACTTTGCCTACCTTTTTTACTCAGCAAGAAAGTAAAGCCTCGTGCAAGCAACGCGTCAGCAGTGATCTCCGTTTTATGAAAAACCTGCTATAATCGGCGTACTTCGGTTATTGAATGGAAAGGTATTTTCCTCGTACTTTTCTTCTGTAATGCAAAATCAATTGTTTTTAAATTTGTTTTGGAAAAAAATGCATGCAAACTGAGATTGAAATACTGACTGTCCCGGGTATCAGCCAATATACTTGGAAGGAGGAGACTTTACGGACAAATTGATCATGCATACACATGATACGTCATTTTGGTATCGCGAACATGATGGCCTCACTAAGAGAGAACTGGTGGATTCCAAGACTGCACTCGAAAGTTAAAAGGATCATTAACAAATGCAAAGTGTGTAAAGCGTACCAAGTCAAACTTCATATGGTCGTACAGCAACTGCCGAACTACCTATGTTTCGAATCAAAAGCAGACAACCATTTGAAACAATGGATGTTGATTTCGCGGGTCCCCTCACATATAAGCTTACCAAGAAAGAAGAAGGCAAGTGCTACATCCTAATATTTACATGTGCTACATCCAGAGCCGTGCATCTGGAGTTGACAAATACAAAATCAGCAGAGGAATTTGAAGTAAAGCTAAACGCCTTCATCGCAAGGAAGAGCAGACCAAAGTTGATTGTGTCGGACAATGGAGGAGCATGTAAAGCGACAGCGTTATGGATCAGAAAGATATGTAAAATTGAACGTCTGCAAGATTATTTGGCAAGACAAGAGGTTTGGTGGAGATTCAGTCTATCCATGTCCCCTTGGTGGGGTGGAATGTACGAACACTTACATAAGGACATTAAAAAAGCCCTGTATAAAGTCCTGGAAAGATCGACATTATTTTTGGACCAGTTACAAGCTATTGTAATTAATATTGAGAAAAATGTAAACAATAGGCCACTGACGTACGTCGAAAGCGAGCAAGAAGAGAAACAAGTGCTCACACCAAATAATTTCTGTGGGGACAAAATGTGCATACCATTATTGACTAATCAGACACGGATGATGGAGAACAAGTCATGAAGTTACACAAACGAATGAAGCAGAAATGAGAACACGCGTGGCAAAGATAGAAGACAGAATACGTACATAGTTTGATGAAACATCATCGAGTGATTAAAGGGGGAAATGCATGTCCAGAAGTAGGAGAAATGATGTTGGTGGTTCGTGAGGAAAAGATGAGCTGAATGGAAATGGGGAAAGGTTGTTGAGCTAATCAAGGGGAAGGACAACGTTGTGCGAGGAGTAAAGATCTTGATGAAGGGACATATGATTGAAAGACCGCTTTCTCTTGTTTGCTCTCTCGAACTCAAGGAAACAGAGATTGAAGAACCGAAGCCAAAGGGGGCAAAGCCAAAAGAAACAGACAAAATCGGACAACGAAAGAGTAAGAAACAAGTAGCAAAGGATGCTAGGTGTAAAATACTGCAGTTGATACAAGAGAAAGAATATTGAAGAATTGAACTCGACATAATGTCGGCAAACTTTAAACTTTCTAGTTGATATTAATTATATAATTAAGAAAAACATTTCATTTTAGAGGGGAGCATGAACGAACATATTATAGATAGGGGTATTGGGTTACCTGTGGGAAACAAGCCTGTTTGCGGCCGACCTGAGTATCAGGAAAAACAACGAACATGTGAGACTTTGTGAGCAAGAATTTTGTGTAAAAAGTGGGAGTTTTTATAGTTTATTAAACTTTACTAAAACATAATACAAGAGTTTTAGTGTCCCGATACAAGTTCGGCACAAAATAAATTATAAAGTACAGTATCCGGTTGGCTTAGTTATGAGTATTTCAAAAAATTACACTATATATCATATAATTAAACATACCAATATACGTATTGGCCCAGAGGAACTACAAGGTGTGCTATTGGTATTTGGCAACACCACTGGAGTGTCCAATTCATCTGCAAAGATAAAACATCACTAAACTAAGGCAACTATTGTATATGCATGTGACACTGAAACTACAAATTCTATTATTCCAACATCAATCAGTCTACAGCATTAAATATTTAAATGTTTGCAGCTAATTAAACATACCACCACATGTAGGTAGAGAAGGTGTGCTTTGAGTGTTAGTCTTTGACTTCTGATACTCCATCATTTTTGAACATATCTAATCTAAAGATAAATAAAAAATGCCATTAATATGTGCTGTTGTGTAATCTCATGTTGTTGCATAAAATCGCAAACAATTCTGTACATTGTGCTGTGTGTTTTCGCGATTGCACGTCAATACCAATAATATTGTATACATTTCAATATTTTCGGTCCATCAATATTCGAAATACCGAATAACCCAGCCTAGACCTAGGCACAAATTCTATTTTTATTTATATATTTTTTAATATTCAGCGCTTTTCACATGAAAAGACTGGGACTAGTTGATTTGGGGGCAAACAATTCTGTACATTGTGCTGTGTGTTTTCGCGATTGCACGTCAATACCAATAATATTGTATACATTTCAATATTTTCGGTACATCAATACATCAGTATTCGAAATACCGAATAACCCAGCCTAGACATAGGCACAAATTCTATTTTTATTTATATTTTTTTAATATTCAGCGCTTTTCACATGAAAAGACTGGGACTAGGTGACTTGGGGGCGGGCCGGAGGAACAACACAAGCCTGACGTAAGCGAAAAAATAGAAGGCCTAGTGGATTTCCCAACAACAAGGCCAAAACTGCCCTGAAACTGCCCTGATTGCGAAATGCCCAATTGTTGTGTTCTCAAACAGAATTATTTGCAACTTAACAGCAAATTTAAACTGATACAGGTAAAATAAACTCATTTATAGTATAAACTTACTATTTTTATTTGTATACACGTCTAGAAAATCGGGTTTTTTATCATAAAGTTTGAAGCAACACTATTATTATGTTGACAAGGTGAAGCGAAAGCACAAAATAATAATTCTTTTATTCACAAGACAATCTACTGTTTTGCTTTGAATAACTGTATTTGCGAATTGGGAATGAGGATTTTGAAATTATTGTTCAAATATTACGGATATACCATTTGTAAACAATGTACGTTTTTATATACAGTACTGTACGGGCTAATAATGTATGTATCCGTTTTATTTAATAAATTATAATTGTATACGTGTTTGTATATTTTACAAACACAAGACTGCTTCTTGCCAAAATTGAGAAAATATATATTAATGTAGTTGTGTATAAGACAAAATTTCATGAAAGATTCTACTTTTGGTATATATGGGATTTTCTAGACGTGTATACAAATAAAAATAGTAAGTTTATACTATAAATGAGTTTATTCATAGTTAATAGAGGACAGGGTTTGGAAGGCCGGCAAACTTCAAAGGCTTTCGAGCTAATTAATTTCAGATGTTGGAAAGGTACGTCACATGACATTTCGGGTGCATCAAATTCAGAAATTACTATAGCGTAGTATTACAGAAATATGATATTTTGCTTATAAATTTTAAAATGAGGCATTGTTGTTCTTGTTACGGCTTCGACAAGTTCGGCATACGATTCAGAAAGCAAAATTCACCCAATTCTGGGTGCTGGAGACGCAGATACAACGACGGAGGCGATTTTCATCAAACTATTTAGCTGCTGCAAATCAACGCGGATGAATTAACTGAAGAAATATCGCGTTCAGTTGACGAAGTAAGTCCTTTATACTGTGTCCAATTAAACAATATGTAGTGAGATGCCTTAGACTTAATATTTGACTTATATTTGTCGTTTAGGTTGAAGGATTAAAGCAATTCCCGTGCGAATATCGACGCAGTATTAAGCACTCGACAAATGCTACAGCTAGTACTGCCAAAGGGAAAATCAAAACCCATGTTATATGACTAATTATCACGCATATGAGAAGGCATTGTCAATCATTTGAGAGGTAGGGAAAAGGAAAGAATATTTTCATCCATGCAGAGAAGATAAAGTCGTGCTTTTGATGCTGGTGAATATGCCCGAACGGTTGACTTTGCTATTACCAGCAGATATTCTAATAAAAGTTATTATAAACACTGAAGAAACTGCATGCTTTAATACCAGTGAATATCTTAATACTGTATATATAGACAATATACTGTAACCTAGATATGTCCAATTGTCAATTACAAGTCCAGATATTGACCAATATACAGTGATTCAATGTCTACTAACATGTGATTTGTTACTTTTGATCATTCTGTCACATCAAAATAGAATGTTATTCCAAGATTCCATGATATTTCATGCCCATCCCACAGTTTCCAAGACCAAGTCTTATAATATATTAGACAAAGGAGATATTCAAAGGAAATATCATACAGAGGAAATATCAAATTTTGATATTTCCTCTGTATATTACAATATTGACCGAAGGGTATTAAAAATTAAACTTGGTTCTTATTCCTCTCCAAATGTTTTGTGTCTCAACTGTTGGATGGCAGAAGATTTTACCTATGTGCAAAGGATTATATACCCAGAAATATTTTTTAATGTTTGTATTCTGCTAGTAATTATCAGTGAAATCAGAAGAGTTTGGACCACCCAGCTTATGTTGCTGGGGAGGGGCTGTCAGCCCTGTGGGTACCAAATTCATGACTTAATGATATTGCTAGAATTGCTGAATCGTGCTTTAGAAAGCACACAAGAATTAAGGCAAACCTACTTTTTTAAACGTTGATAAAGTTATTAAGAATGTCCAAGCTCTTCCATTAGCAAAAAGTTTGTGGAATGACATTATTGAGCAATCTAATAGCATTGCAGTATCAAAAGAATGCCAGTGTTTTGAGAACATTGGTAAACTGTATGGCTGTTAAGTTTCAAATTTTGCCATTTGTTGTGCTCCAGCCCGATTTCTGGTTCTGAAAGGCCGTTTCTCAGCCAAAGAGTGCATGCCAAGCAGGCTGGACATTTCATTGTTTAACTGCCCCCCACTCAAAGGGCACTTTTTGCATCTTCTGAAAACTTGGGGGGCCTTGGCCCCCTGGTTTGACAGCCAATTTCAGATGTGAATAGTGTACTTATTCACTATGTCAGTGCGCTCTGATTCTAGCCGTTGTTGTCTCAAACCATGATAACTCAAAGTTGAGCCTACGAATGTCTTGTCTATTTGAAGTGAAACAAAATTTTGTGTAATAGTGATTTACTGTATATATTAGTACAAATTTTTACAAATTATTCAACTAAGGTAATATACTGTTCTAGTCTTATTGTTCACCTATTCATTTATAATTATTTTATAACATATGATTGTACAAATTATTGCATATTACTCTTTTGAAGCAGTGCTGTCATTAAGTTTACAAGTAGGTGGCCGAAAAATGATTGAACATTGAAGGCACAAGACTCCTAGAGGGGTCTGGGTGCATGCCCCTAACCCTGAAATCTAAACAATTGGAAATGCCATTCCCTCCATTTGGGAAGGTATTTTACACATTCCCTGCATTTTGGAAGGTATTTTACAGAGTTCTTAAGATTACAAAACATCCTATCAAAGCCCGACCTGTTTGAAATCATTTAATCTTTTGTTTTAATTTTGATATTCTGACTAGAGGAAGTAAAAGGTTTGTTTATTGCTTCACAGTTTTGTTT